TGTGTGAGTGTTTGTGTGTGTGTGTGTGTGTGTGTGTGTGTGTGTGTGTGTGTGTGTGTGTGTTTGACAGAAAGAGGAAGTGCAAGAATTGCACATTTTGCTGAAATAATCTTGCAACTTATCAAAATGAATTAACTACATTTTTCACACTTTGCATTTGAAAGACATCATGCTAGAATCACAATAATAACACTTAGAGCATATGATGCCACTGTTCAGCAACATCCTCAATCAAAACTATATAATCTTTTATCTGAATAAAATAACAGCATAAATTTAAGTAATCCAGATCTTGAGGATATCTTGTCCACTAACACAGTAATATTCATCTTAAACATTTAAATAACAAATCAGTCAACCTGCAGCTGTTATATGAAAGTTCAAATTCATATTATAAAGTATGCTGCCACCTCTGAAATTGATATTAAAGGGATTAAAAGGATTTAGTCACTATCAGTGGAATCGGGGACTTGGCTTCCAGTGTATGAGTGAATAACAGAATAACAGTGTGATGAGTGGGGAGAGGTTGACACACACTGATGTGGGACGTGCGTGACTCCAGCGGACGCTCTTCTGCTCACAGCTACAGTGCTCATGAAGTTCAGCTCTTATCATCGCCTATAATTTCATTGATCTTTTATTATTACAGGAATTGCATTCCGTCTGGAGATGTGACCTCGTGAAAGCGATTTTGTGGGTAGTTTGTGGTTAAGTTCGCCGGATGCGTTGGACACCTGCCCTATGTTCTGTAAATACTATAATGTAAGTATACAAAATCTCTTCTGAGGTAATGCAGTTTAAGATGGATTTATATCACATTTACCTATATTACAAAAATGTAATTATTAGTATATTAATAATATTCATTACGGGTCGCTTGTATTATAGATATTAGCCTATTTACAAGACATAGTATTTAGTTCACATTTAAAACTGTAAAAACGCTAAATAATTTGAATTAAAAGCTGACTAAAAGTTGTCAAAAGATTTCAAATCTAAGTATAGACTGTCTCTTTTTTTTACACATCAGCCTGATAGGGTTATAGAGATGTGACGCAAATTATAGAGAATAATTTCATTATTTGTTGTGAGATCTGAGGGACGTTGGAACCGATTTCTGAGTATTTGAGTTAATGTTACAGTGTAATTTTCAAAAGTTTAATATTCTTAACTGATGATGACCTTTAGGTTTGGATATATAATGTTTTGCCAGTGATTTGTGCGAATGGATGACTAGTTTATGTGGGCTCGAATGAGTCTCTGGCCTGAGGTAAGACCAAATACTGTCATCATAAAATCTAAAAGTCTTATTGAGGGGCCCTTTCTGATTCACTTGTGTCCAGTTGCACCTTCATTAGCATTTCACATAGACAGAGACAGGATTATTTGTAACAGTGAACAACACTGACTACTGACACGGATTTGTGGCTAATTATAACTGAATAACCTGAGCTTTGTAAATGTATATGGACATGTTACATGTCATCATTCCTTAGACATCCTGTTGAAACTGTGCAAATGTGCTATTTATGGAAAATCATTTAATGCATCATTGACCAGTTTATTATTCCACTGCTGTAATGTTCCGTAAATACTGAAATCAAAGAGCATGAAAAAGGCATCAGATGTACATGTAATTTCAACAATAGCTATAGTGCTTTAGCATCATGAGTGCTAGTATAGTACAGTAATAGACCAATATACTGCTATTTGACCATTGTGAGATTATAATTTCATTTGTTTTAACACTAAAAGTTTGGGGTCTGCTGTAAAATTGATAATGTTTTTGAAAGAAATCTCTTCTGTTCATCAAGGCTGCATGTATTGGATCAAAAATACAGCAAAAACAGAAATATTGTGAAAACATTATTACAATTTAAAATAACTCTTTTCTATTTGAATATATTATAAATGTAATTTATTTCTGTGATGGCAAAGCTGAATTTTCAGTAGTCATTACTCTAGTCTTCAGTGTCACACGATCCTTCAGAAATCCATGCTGATTTGATGAAAAACATTTCTTATTGTTTCTTATCGATGTTGAAAACAGCTGTGCTGCTTAATATTTTTGTGGAAAGTGTGTTACTTTTTTTCAGGTTTATTTATTGAATAGAAAGTTTAAAAAAAACAGCATTTATTTGACAGAAATCTTTTGTAACTATATAAATGTCTTTACTGTCACCTTTGACCAATGTAATGCATCCTTGCTAAATAAAAGTATTAATTTCTTAAAATAAAATCTTACTGACTCCAAACTTTTGAATGGTAGTGTATTTCGGCCATAATAAAAAGCCATATGGGTCGACCACTAAACCTGAGTCCTATATAAACATTTCACTGTGTGTCAGTCTTTGTAATATATAGGCAATATTTTTTGCATTGTAGCAAATGAGCTAAAAAGGCAAATATTAATAATGAATCATAACTTGTTGTAATTAATTATAAATATTTGAATCAGCTAATGGAATATTACAATCAGCAAACCTGTTTGCCCAGCAAACACCCAGTGTTAATTGTTTATTAATTCTAAGAAATGTTTATTTCCGGGTATGGGAAATAATGTCCTTATTGTACAATACTATACAATACTATACAATACAATGCACAAATTATGCATGATTAGGGACTCCAGTTATGAGCAAAACAACATACAACCTTGAGTGTGATACAAACGAGACTTTATTAACTACACTAAACACTTAAACTATTCTAACACACACACACACACACACACATACACATGCATACAGTTTAGCAATGGAAAGAGAGCTTAGTACAGCAGAGTACAGGAATGCAAGAAGTTATAGTATTGTTTGAGATTCAGCAGATCAACAGCCTTGAGCAAACCATCAGTTTCTTAGTTCTAACACACCCTTCTTTAAAAGGGGTGGGGATACTTAATGGATCAAACAATGAGACTAAGTTTAATACTTGCATGTCTTGCCCATTTGAATAAAAGTGTCCTGATGCAGTTTGTTGAGGTTCCAGTTGATCTTGGCTGATTTTTTCTTGATGAGAGAGAACCAGCTGAAATCTGAGGATCTTTGGTGAATGGAAAGACCAGGCCGCAGCCTGGCACAAACTTAGGGGTCCTTAGAAGACTTCTAGCTCAACACCCTCATCTTCCTCATCTAAAAGAGCCGCCCTGATCTTGTGATCAGTGATCTTTAAAGTGTGAGGATGGTTCATGCAACTCACAGAGTGGGTTTTAAAGATTATTTGTTAAATATAACAAATAATTGTGTGTCTGATCAGTCAAGTCGTTACAGCATCGTAAATATTCATTTTCATCGTATCACTGTTTTTTTGTCTTTATGGTTTGCTTAGTTTGTTGATGGAGAGGATTTCGAATGACAGCCGGCACAGTGGTCATCACAGGTGGAATTCTGGCTGCCATTATCTTGCTAACTATTGTCACAGTTCTGTGTTACTGTAGGCTGCAGGTAAATCTCCTCTACTGCTCGTCTCATAAGTAACTCCCTCTTCTGTACTTACTTATATATTGAGTGTGACATCTCACTCTGCCCATTAGTATTACTGCTGTAAAAGAGACGAGTCAGAGGAGGGGGAGGAGGAGGCTGACATTGCCAAGGCATCGCCAAATCCACCGCGCCAACCGAGTCCACCTGAGAGTCCACTGAGTCTTCAACATTTCCCTGAATATGCGTCCTCCAATCAGTTGCTAATGACTGCAGAGCCCTTTGAGCCCAACGGACCAGTAAGCTATCCTCAATACTTCCTGCGCGCACCCTACAGACCGCCCCGCTCGTACACTTTCTGCCCGGTCCTGCTCGGGTATCTGCCGCTCTACATGAGCCCACAGGAGGGGCTGCGTAATGGGGGTGGCAGGATCAGCTACAGGACACTGCAGCAGGAGGAATTAGACCTGCCAATGGAGGCGCCCTGCTTCCACAAACTCAACCTCATCCGCTCTGTCACCATGCAAGAAGTGCTGACTTATCACAGCATCAGCACGGATGTGTAGCACCTCATATTCACCTAAAGCATTGTGTTATTCACAATTATTGTGCTGCTTTGCCGTACCAGGTTGTTCAATTCATTGTATCCAATACATCAAATGTATGTATGTATGTATGTATCTATCAGAAGGATAGTCATGCCAGTGCTGCTTAGTATCATTGAGATGCAATTAGAAAAAAAAAAATCTGTAGAAAAACAGAAAAGATACTGGTAATACAGGACATTGTCTGTTAAGTTTACAGATATTTCCTTTAACCCAAAAACATACAAAACACAATCCATAATTCAAAATACGGATGAAACACCTGTGAAAAATCAATATGGATCAAAATCAATTCCTTCATATTAACACTGTACATTGTGCCCTATTTATACAGACTTTTCTGACGGTGTGTAATAAAAATAGTTGCTTTATTATTATATATATATGTTATTATTATTATGTAACTAATAGGGCTTTTTAAGGGCATGAGAACTGGAGTAAAATTTTGATATTTCACATTCTTTTGTCTATCACAGATATTTACTGCTGTAGTGAAATAGTCGATTAAAAGATATATATGGTGTGGATGTATGGTATATTTAATTTGTGAAATGATAATACCACCTGCAGTCATAGTTTTACATGTGGATTGTAAATTTGTGTGTCTGATTGTGTAATATAATTGACTGATTTTATAATTCTCTGCATTCTCATCTATGCGTGTAGTGCCACTCAGTTTGCATTGATTTTGATCAAAAATAACTCTGAAGTCACCAGAATAATGATCTGTTATTGTCTTTTATCTTTTTCATTTGTTGATAAATGCAAGATTTGTTAACATTGACATTGGCTGTGTGAGAATTTAATCACCGAGTTTCAAGCTCTTGTGGTGTGATAAATTAACATATTAAACTGCACATGCTGTTTGCTGGCCAGCAGGTGGCATCAGTTCTTGTGCAGAAAAAAGGACCTATAATTGGTTAATTAAAAACATCAAACAAGAGAAAAATGTGTGTGTGTGTGTGTGTGTGTGTGTTATGTATGATGGCCATTATGCAGATGAATATTGCTGAAAGTAACTATGATTTCCGACTCCCTAAAAATGATTAAATGTTTTATCATCTTAATCAGCTTAAATAAATGTAATTTACACTAGGGTTATTATATTTAACTAAAAATACGCATGAGACCATTCCATGCATTATAGGGTGCATTACAAGGCATACTTAATGCATTAAAACTACTTTTATAATGCATTATAACATTAACTGAAATAAAACGTATTTTGTTTCAGCTAGTTGCCAGGGCAACATATCTCATTTTTGTTTAGTTTAAGTTGAAGTACTTAACTAAAACAAAAAAAATAAAACTTAATAAAAACGTATTAATATCAACATACAAAAAGCTAATAATATGACAAAAACACACAACAAAATTACTAAAATTCTACCTAAAATGAAAATGAAAACAGAAACTATAAAAATAAAATTCAATCCAAAATATGATCTGAAACTATAATAGTATAGGAGTAATACTAAAAATAACACTGATTTACACTTTATTAATGTAAATTATATTAAAACTTGTACTAAAAATATCCAACCAAACAACACAACCACAGCATTTCATTGGAGTATAATATTTAATATTTATAATATTCTGAGAGGTACACAAAAGTTTTTCTACAAGAAAATCAAATTACTTACATTTGATTGCCTTTTGTACTTGAGGTAAGGTAGTACAATATATTAGGTTTAGTGTGTCTTAGTGAAACAATATATGAATCAGATACATTTTCAACTATAGCATGTTCAAGTGTCAGGACCAGTGTTGGGCAAGTTACTCTGAAAATGTAATCAAATTACTGATTACTGATTACTCCTTTTAAAAGTAATCACGTTACTGTTCTGATTACTTTATTTCAAAAGTAATTAGTTACATTACTAGTTACGTTACTTTTTTCTCCATTAAATTTATGAAATCCCAGCATACACGCTCCCGATAAATATTTTTTATGTTTAGATATTTCTATTTTGCGGGAGTCCTGTGAATCATTTTATTCTCCCGCATCCCGCACACACACGAGTGTCTACACGCCCGCACCAGCACTCGCCCATCTTGTCCCGCGCCGCACTCTGTTGCGTCGGGTCTCTAATCCACTGGCACTTGACTCGACAGTGCGTGTGCTACATCCTTTTTACAATCTCTAGATTATAAAACACTGCATTCTGTCAGCAATGTAACGCGGCAGTAACGTAGAGACTTCGGCTTGTAACTATACTCTAATTACTATTAAAATTATAACGTGTTAAATTACTCCGTTACTAAAAAAAAGTAATCAAATTACAGTAACGCGTTACTAAGTAATGCGTTACTGCCCAACACTGGTCAAGACTCACTCAATGACAAGAATAAAATGACTCGGCTATGTCAAGTTCTGCTAAATTCATTGTCAATTAAAATCAAATGAATGAAATACAAGAATGAATCGGATACACACATAGAATGAGAGAACCCAATAAAACTACTGCTGTAACCAATAAATTAACATAAGCCTAGGTCTAACCATAGTTAAACCGGATAAAAGTAAACAGTAGAGCATAAGAGCCAGCAGTGGCTTGAGGCTCAGCCTGTGTTTGGATGTACAGTACTAAATCAGCCATCTTCAGCCAGAGGTAACATTCAGTATCGACCTCTGCCACTGCCAGATAATAAATGTCCAATAAAACCTGACGAATAATAAATCATTTTAAGACATGCAATATAATCCTCTGAGCAATAATCAAATAATTTAATATTTCCTTAGTGTATCCCACAATCACAGGACACTGTCATATAGCTATCATTTTGTAATACTGACAGTAATGCAATTTTATGGATATAGCTTAAGATATAAACAAATACGGATTTAAACTTCCCTTGCTGCAATCCTTGAACAATCTCAATGCAGATGACATGAACGGATGAAAACTTGAGTGGTGGAGACGAGCTAGGAAGCTCGTAGATTACGGCAAGAATGGCAACAGGCCTTACTGTAATACCAGTGACTGCACAGATTCACCCTCAGAGCCAGCGAGCAGTTGGTGGTGGGACGATCCTGGCAGTTTTCATCTGGTGAAGCAATGATGGAGTTAAAATTCATGTTATTTATGATTTCTCTGGATCTATAGCACATATTTAGATTTTATAATATGTAAAATTACAGTCAGAAGGCAATGCTTCAAGGTGCATATTTCATATTTAAGGGATAGTTAACCCAAAAATTTAAATTCTGTCATCATGAATCACCTCCATGTTGCTCCAGACATGTATAACATTATAAATATAATAAATGCAATAACAAGGACTGGACAAAAGGCATAATGATGACATATGACACCAATTGACACTGGTTCTCTCAAGTCTTGAGACCAAAAATGAAACTATATTATAATAATGATGTCTAATGGGGACTCATGTCACGGTGGGGACCTAAATTGAGGTCCCCACGCGTAAACAAGCTAATAAATTGCACATAATGAAGTTTTTTGAAAATCCTGTGAAGGGTAGGTTTAGGTGTAGGGTTGGTGTAGGGCAATAGAATATACGGTCTGTACAGTAGAAAAACCATTACGCCTATGGAGAGTCCCCACAAGGATAGCTGACCAGACATGTGTGAAATAAAGATGAGCTGAAGTAAATCAAAGTGAAAAAAAAACATATAAATAAAATCAAATTTAAAATATGAACAAAAACTATATTAGTATATTAATGATAAAATAACACAGTAAAATAACACTGAGTTAAACTCTGTCGCTCATCACCAACTCGACTGAAAATAAATTACTTCTTGTCACTTTGCTTCATATTAGTATCACTTTGAAAGTCTCTTGTTGCTTTATTGCATTGTGCTTGATTAAAACACAGTTACAGATTTTTAAACTGTCAAAGATAACTGGTGTACATTTCAAATCGTGACAGTGTTCCCATCTCACCGGTCCCCACTCAGACGCTGTCCATTGGCGCTCACATGGAGGGCCGGTGCAGTTTTTGGTAGATGCTGGGCGAGTTGCCTCATCACATGCATGGGTTTCATCTGAGCATCTGACCTCTCGAGTAATCAGACCCCTGCGACCACATTTAGCTGGACACTACACAACCAACACAACAATATAAAATTTAGCTTTGTTCCTCTTGTTTTAAAAATAAATGTAATAAATCTATTGTTTATGCTTCAAATGAGACAAAAAAATTGCCAATGCGGTAAGGCCCTAATTCAACATAAACAATTCTCATATTACACAGTTTTGCTACTCATATAAATTGAACTTGTTAAAATGATGTTTGGGAATTTTTACTGGACAAGACAAAAACACTGATTAAATTTTTTTTTATTTATTTGCTTTTATTTATTTATTTGCAGTGTATGGAGGTTATAATGGAGAGTTTACTAAATGTGCTCTTAACCTACCTCTGACCACTCAGCTACCTCCCACTGAGGGCCACAAGTGGGGCTTTTACAGGACCGGCGCTCTGGGGGGCGCTCTAGTTGTGCCTCTATACAGAGGTCACTGTACACTGAGCTGTCTAGGCCAGGAGCCAGCATCTTCCAGCAACGCACGAGGCGAAACTGGAAACCTTCTCCACAAGTCCGAGAACACTCACTCCAGCTGCTTGCCTCCCATCTACACATAAAGACCACAGTAAAAGTTTTGTGTCAAGTTCCCGTTTTCATGGGACATAATAAAATGATTGGAATGGCATGAGGGTGACTAAACGATGACAGAATTTTTATTTTTTGTTTGGTTTTCTTTACCTTTCTTGTCTTTTCTACAGAGCCCCCCGCAGATATTTTTAATGAAACCTGAGAGGTTTCTGTCCCTCCATTGAAAGTCCAGGTAACCAAAAATTAGAAGATCCAAAAAGGTCATAAAAGCATCCTAAAATGAATCCATACATATAATATACTTCATATATAAACACATACATAAAATGCATCACATATGGTAAACACGAAAGCTTATGCATACGTTACATGCTAA